CCATTAAAAGAAATAAAGTTAATTACCCTTCTTAATGGTTAAGTTAAGTTAGAGTTTGAGTCAAAATTGGTTACGTCTTTCCTTTCTGTGAATTGGATCGAGTAGTAGAAAGGGTAAGTGACCTTTTCTTTAGCCTTAAGTTCAGGTATTAAATTTTGGAGAGCAAGAAAAGCTTGCCTATAAATAGGTGGCCGAATTCTCTTCCATAGATTATCAAGATGGAAAAAAATAATTGAGTAAATCCATGGATTTATAAACCTTTGTGGTTTTGTTACAATGAGCATTTCCTGTTGTTTGGAAGGAGTTGAACAGTTAGTTAATATTTTCTTTCTTAGGACCTAAGGGGACTTGATTCTTTGAGTAAAGGGGTTTTATCATGTTGAGCATATTGCATGATTTATTTGTTTTATAACTAATTTTCCATCATCTTTTGATATGATAGTCGATAGGTTAAGCATGTTTGATTTCTTGTTTGTTCGAATTTTTGTGTCTTTTGATTGTAGGAAACCTTGTTGGTTTATCTATTGATATAGATGAGTTTGCTTAGAAATAGCCTGATAATTAATGTATTTTGTTTGTTTATTGCCTTGGTTATGAATGTGTCCTATCTAGTATATTAATATATTCGAGTGGTGAGTTTGTAGTTGAGTTAGTGATTTGTTCTTTGCATATGTCGTCAATTATATGGGTAATTGTTTGATTGTATTGAATGGTACAATCTTTAAGATTTTAAGTGTTCAATCCGAATAGTTATTTGGATGTTGTGTTTATGATCTTTGTAAGAGTTCATAGGATGGTTACCGTATGCTTAAACATTCTGTTTATTTGTGATATTCCTCACTCTTTATGAGTTTCACTTTTAAACATTCTTTTTCCTACTTTCTTGTGGAAGGTTCCTTTAACGAAATTAGGTTCTTCTACGAGATTACTATCACTAAGGTTTATGATTCTTAGCATTGATGGGGACCTTGTGTGGAAGCCTATTGACCCATTTCCAGTTTTAGAAAAGATGTTTGACCAGTCCCTGTACTACAATGGAATGCTATACTTAATGTTAGTGGATTGCGTGGAGCTATTGTTGCTTTTGGCATAGGCAGAGAGAAGTTTTGGTGTATTACATTCCTATTTGTAGGGGGACAAGTCAAGGAGGACATAAGCTAGGACAACTAGGATGGTTTTCGGTTAGCACGCTTTGGGCTGAGGTTGATCCTCCACTTTCAGAACTCTAAAGGTCAGCACTTGATAACATCGTGTCAAAATGATCAACCTGGAAGAAATGTTGGGTGGACGTGGGAGATGCAAGATGTGGGCATAGCTGATCGCCTCAAATATGTTGTTGGTATGCGTCTAGGTAACAAGGTCTGCTTTGGAAGTTGGGAAGGCGCTTTTTTAGTTGATATGAGCATGGAAGTTGCCTCTAGTTTGGTCATCCCGGAAGTTGGCTCTAGTTATTTTATCACGCCAGAAAAATATTTTTACTTCGAGGAAAACTTGCTTCCACTAGGGTGTTTGGTCTCTGGTGTTCATTGCTATTCTTTTTTTTCGATTGGGGAGGTTAAAAATTTGTCTACTGATTTGGATGTTCCAGTAGCTCTTTAAAGATTTCTTTATGTAATAGTTTAAATATATTTTGTGGGTAAGCAATTTTTGAAGTGTCTATGAGGGATTTGTCTGCAATGCCAGATTGAATATTGTTCTATTTTCAGTTGTCCATGGTAGGATGTGGTTGAGAAACATTATGTTTAAGTAATTACTTTACTGCTTTAAAAAAACAAAAAAAAAACTAAGGTTTATGATTTTATTATAATTGATTATATTTGTGTTGTTCTTAAGGGCTATCTGAATGCTAGTTGGTATTCCAGTACTAGTTATTATAACCCACTAATGGTTAGTTTTTCATCATTTCTTGTGAGAGATGTTTGTTGATAAGTGCAACAGACAAAACGGTATTCTCTTCAATATATATAAAAAAAAAAACATGAATTTTTTGAACTATCTTTTGTATATAAGGAGGCAAAGTGGCCAAAGAGCCCTAGCATGTGGCGCCTGTAACCTTATATTGTAATAGTTAGATACTAAGTTGACAATGGTAAATATAGACATATTAATTCAAGATACGTATTTCTTAATGAGATACTTGGTGTTGATATTGTCGGTGTTATACTTGTGAAAACACAAGTTTGTTATGGTCCATATACCAGAACTCTAGTGAGAGAATTGATGTTTTTGACAACATGAGAAATGGGAGTAAAATCTCAATACTAAAATCACGAGCAATGGAAACCCAACGTTCTTCTAGTACTACCACTAAATTGTAAGGTTTAATGGGTACAACAAGTTGTTTTGTGGCTGTGAGCACCAAATTCGAGTATACTGATAACGGCCAAATTGTTACATAAAAGCATTGTAATTTTGCTCTTTAATTATTTAGAAATTAGGGGTGTTTCGTAGACTTTGTTCATTTTACTTAGCTAGTTTTGTGTTTCTAAATAGGTGAGGACCGGAGTGAACAAATGCTGAAAATGGGGACTTATGGAGCAATAATTGGGCTGCTGATTCCAATTTAAAATGAGGGCTGAGTTGGTCAAAAAGCAACTCCAAGACACAAGACACATTGGGAGTTAATAAGGGTGTCCCACAAGAGAAACTAAAGAGCATGCTTATCCACTTGAATGAAGAACCAACCACCCACATTGATCAATGTTGTTGCTGATACCACTGTTGGAAGAAGAGGAAAAGGCCAGTCAAAATCATATTCAAGACACAATGCATTGGGGTTAATAAAAAATACACAAGCATGGCTCTTGGAAGAAGAACCGGCAACAAACTCTATAAAGGGGGCTGCATTCCCAACAGAAAAACACACATCTGAGACATCAGAGGACATACAACACACAAAACAAAACAGAGAGAGAAGAAGAGACCGGAGAGGGGAGAAAACTCCAAAGGAAGAAGAAGTCCAGTAGCAGTTAAAGAGGAGTAACAGACCTCACTCGCCTGAGTGACCTTTGTCACTCAGGCGAGTGACTTACTGCTCAGCCATGCAGATTTGCTTCTTCTCAATGCTTTCCCTCTTTTCTTGTATTTTCTGTAGTTTGTATGTGTAGTAAGTTAGATTTCATTCTCTGGAACCTATGTAGTTTAAGTTTTTGAATGCATTCGGATGATTTTGTATTTTGAAGTTAAAGCTTTCATCTACCTCTTGATTAAATTGGCCATTTGATTGATTGTGCACAGAACTAAATGAATCCCGGAAGGGTAAACAAGGTTCAGAATCATTTAGCTTCAACTTATGACTTGGAGGTAACAGTCCAAGGTTCTAATTGAGATAGGAATAAACTTTGTTAGTATAAGCATTCATATAAGGCTTGAAAACTTAATGACTTGATTAATCGTTGAAAAATAGTTTATTTGAGTTCATAAATATACCTCTTGGAAAAATCGAAAGTGACTTAGAGATATATAAGTGCCTGAATGAGCATGAATTCATACCAAAAGAGTGAAAAATTACAACTTGATTACATAGGGAAAAGAGGATGAATTTCCAGTTTGCAGAGTAAGTCCCCTGAGTCGGAATTCTCACTCCCGTGAGTGAGGTTTCATTTGTCTTTGTCTATTTTCAGTTCTGCAGAGCCACTTGTGTGAGTGACTTTACCACTCGTGCAAGTGAGTGACACTCTTCAACTATTGTGTTCTTGTTTATTTTTCGGTATTTGAAGTTTAACTCGTCCCTGTGGGATCGACCCGACTTATCCTATCTACAGTTTAAGTTGGTAATTTATTTTGGGGGCTTTAACAACCCACCATATACCATTGCAAGTATTGGTGCACTATAGACATTACTCTTAAATGAGCAAATTGAGAGAAATGTCTTAATGGAATTATTTCTGAGTGTTTTATGAAGGTATAGTAATAAACTAGAATTACTTCTACCTATTTGATCAAAGAGATGGTGTCGTTTCTAGTAAGAGTTTGAGATTATCTTTTTTAAATGATCAAGAATCGAGGATGAGCACACACACCAGAATCAATAATCAACTCCCAATGATCAAATACAATTTCTTTCGGTAAGTAAAATATAAATACTAAAATATTACCTTGTGAGTCAAAATATGTGACAAAAGAGTGAATCTAGATTGATCGAGCACATGAAGGTGGGAGGCGTTGCTGATGAAGAAGAACTGCCATGGCGGGAGAGAAAGAAAACGAGAGATGAGAAAAAAGTGGTGTATTGTGATAGGTATTTCTGGCCGAGAAAGAGATTAATTAAAATAGCAATCACTGAGCGTGTTAAACGATAAGTGATAAGTGATAGGGTTATCACTTAATTTTTGGGAAGCTTTTTAATAGAAAATTCAGATGCACTTAATTTATTAAGATGTCTTATTTTAAATTATCAAACAGATCTACTACTATTTAAGTGCTGAATTAATTAAGTTTCAGTGATTAAGTGATTGTCAAACAGAGCCTTAGTTCTATTGTCAATTTTAAATAAAACTTAACCCTCGCCGTCGCCGCCGCTTTCTTTCTCCCGCCACCACCAAATTAGAGTTTCATCTTTCTTCTCTTTCCTCTAGGTGTTCTCTTCTGAGTTCTCTTTTTGAGTTTTGTTTCCTTCTGGGTTTTCTATCTGAACATTCTTCGACCGTACTGAAAATCCTTAGAGCATACCAGAAGCGTATCCCGTACCGTCGTGACGCCGTATTCGGCCAAAACCGAAGTGCCCGGGTAACATACTGAATCAGAGTCCATGAATTACGCTGTTTTCCTTTTTTTTCTTTTCTTTTTCGTTTTCTCGTTAGCAATAAGCTACACTTGTAAAAGCAATGCATGTTTGGGATATTGGAGAGTTGGAATTCCTCGATTACAATGTCTGAAAATTGGATAATTGTTTTTTTTTTTAGTTTCTGAATCAATTTGTTTTTGTTTCTCCTATGTGCTAGACGGACCACTTAGGAGCTCGGTTTAAGTCCTTGAAGAAGTGCATATCAGCTCCTTTAATGGAAACTGTAGGATCTCCATCTTTGGAAATCTTTGTGAGAGAACCAGATGGTTTTACCATTTGGGATGGACCTCCTTTTGCTAATAATGATAAACCCAGTGTCAAGCTTGATAAAGTGCAATGCTCCAGTGGACAATTTAGTGAAGATGGATCAAAGCTCATGATTATAAAGTCTGATTCTGAGATTGTAATATATGATTGCAAAAGCTGGAGAGTTGTGAGGTCTTTCAATGTACCGAATGTTCTCGCAGCGACTTTCTCTCCTTGGGGGACTTATCTTCAGACCTTTCAGAAGTCAGCATCACCTCAAGAAAAGAATGTGGTCTTATGGAAGACAGATACTGGAGATTCTGTTCATCAGTTCTCCCAAAAGAACATGACCAAGGCAACATGGTACTTTCTTACAACTGCCTCAGTTTTTTTCAAAATTTTTGATGGCTTATGTATCTCGTTCAATTGATTAGTTTTGTTTTTCCAAAGTTGATTTGTTTCTGCTATGTTCAGGCCTTCAATACGGTTCAATTCTGATGAATCTGTTGCATGTCGTATGGTGACTAATGAAGTCCAGTTTTTCGATCCTACGGACTTTTCTAAAGGTGTTGTGTCTCAGCTTAGAGTTCCTGGAGTGGCTGCTGTTGAGCTTTCTAAGGCAACTGGGAGTTTTGTGGCAGTTTTTGTTCCTGAATCAAAGGTACTTTTGTATTCATTTAATCCTTTACCTGAGACACTCTGCCTCTTGCTTTCAGTCTTTTCTATGCTAGACTATCGTGACTAGACAAAATTTTACCCTTTCTGTTTTTTAACTTTTTGTTTTAGTTGTTGAAGAATGGAGGTTTAGATAAATTGTGAGTGGGCTAAAATTTTCCAGTTCAGATTAAATACTCCACAAAGCCTGTGTAACTGCCACCATGGAAAGGATACACATCTTTTCCCCCTCTAATTGTTACTTGTTTTAACTCTGAGCAGGGAATGCCAGCTAGTGTTCAAATATTTAATGCTGGAAAAGATTTGCAGAGCCCCATTGCACGTCGGAGCTTCTTCCGATGTTCAACCGTGAAAATGAACTGGAACTGTGGTTCAACTGGGTTACTTATTCTGGTACAATCAGATGTTGACAAAACTAATCAGAGTTACTATGGAGAATCAAAGCTGAACTACTTGACCACTGATGGAACCCATGAAGGACTAGTTCCCCTACGTAAGTTTCATTTCTCTGGGTATTTGGCTGGCATTGTGAGATTGTAGATCTGAATCTAAGTACACTCTGACATGATGGCAGGTAAAGAAGGACCAGTTCATGATGTTCAGTGGTCATGCTCTGGTAAAGAGTTTGCAGTTGTTTATGGATGTATCCTTCTCTTCTTTACTCTGGATTCTTTTCCTGAAAAGTCGACCGGGTTCCTTTTCTAGTTTAGTGCTTAGAATATCATTGGTGTAGGAGTTAGTCGGAGATATCACCTGATATGCTGCTTTTTAATATTGTTCTCTTCTGAAAGGTGTTTATACTTTTTGATAGTTGTGTTACTCTGTGTTTTTTGTTTGCTACATTTTTAACTACCCCAACTTCCTAAAAGAACCTGTATGAGGAAAAGGGAAGGAGCAAATAGTTTCGATGGCTATGTACCCTTGTCACATAGAGGGAGCAATCTTGAATGGAGTGAGTCTTTTATATCTATTAAAGATCTATTGAAACAATTTGTAGTGAGCTTCTATAGTACACATGAGTCACTGTCAATTTGATTTTGTTTGGCAAATATCTTTTAGGACAATAATATTATGGATTCCAGTGTCTAGAAATTATTTATACTTGTACTTCTTTGTCATGTGGAACGTAATAATAGAAAAAGGCACTGACATTTTGAACTAATAAGATATCTTTAATTGGGGCTCGTACTTGGGGTTTTAATTTGTCTGTGTGTTTATTGAAATGAACATGAAGTTTCTGCACTCGGAATCTATTTTCTTTTCCTTTTTCCTATTCTCTACTCTCTGAAACTTAGAACTTTGAAGGTATTATTGGTGGCTAGGCATAGATCGCTTGCCTTGTTCTTGCACTCCTGCTTATTCCTTGACAGGTACTCAGTTATGCCAGCAATGGCAACAATCTTTGACAAGAAGTGCAAACCGATTCTTGAACTTGGAACTGGTCCGTACAACACTATCCGATGGAACCCAAAAGGAAAATGTATCCTTTTTAAGTACCAAACTGTTTGTTTATAATCACAGGCTTATTATTTTCTGATGGTATAGTTTAGGCCTTAATTCAGTAAAAATGTCAGTCATCTGTTTGGCAGGATTCGGGAATTTGCCAGGTGACATGGTATGTATCCTTTTTTAAGTTATATAACTTTCTGTTGAATTCTTGTTTGTTTGTTCTTAAGTTATCGTTGCACACTTATGCTGTAGATTATCAGCAATGGATGCAAATCCTAATAACCAATGTGCTTGAAGTTATTTTACATTCTGTTGTCAGCACTTGTGAATATCTGCTTACTGTGCTGCTTTACTTTGCCCACCTGGTTACACGTAACATCTCAAGACCGCTAGTAGATTTTGCTGTTGGTTTATGATGGTGTTACGTTTTTCTTCAAAAAAAACACAAACTTTGAATAACTGTTAATTACTATGTTAAGTTATGGGAGTATATTGGATATGGTCCAGATTTTATACTGAATTAACAATTCAATCAAAGATTTGTTTATGTGTGATTATTTACTTGGTCTTTTAGAAGTACAGTTATTTGCTAGTTTTTATTTTGGTTGGTTGTTCTTCGGTATGGTAATAAAATAATTCGGTTAACAGACAAGAGTGTTGAACTATGTAATTAGTGTAAACTTTTTATTTATTTATTATTTATAAGTGGAAGCGCCTTTTGTGGTTGGGGTTTTTGCAGTAGTTTAGTGTAAAATTTCTTATAAACAATATCTCAAAATGCTAGCCTTTCACTCTGCATTTTTCATTTTATGGGATAGATTTGTATTCATAAATTTTACTTTTTATATATTTTTGAAGATTTGGATTTAATTATATCATCACCATGAAACTGAGATATGCTGTGATGCACTTGTAAAATTGCTTCAACTTATTGATGTGCTTATGTGTTGCGGTCCATTTATGATTTGGTTAGTGTTGTGCTCCACCTACCTTGTCTACCTGTCAATAAATTTAGGTAAAGGGCATGTATAGTCAAGGAAAATGGTTAAGTTCTTGAAGCAATTCAATGCATTTTCATGTTCTTTTCCTCTTCAAAGGATTTCACTTTGCCATTGCATTTGTTGAAACTTGTATTTTTTTAATTTTTATTTTTTAATGCTGATAAGTGTATTAGTGATTTCCCTGCTCCACAATTTTTTTTAGCTCCAACTCTATAGTACTTTGTGTCATGTACTTTCTTTTCTTGCTGCTAGGTGTTCTGGGATTATGTAGAGAAGAGAAAGCTAGGAACTACCAAAGCAGAATGGTCTGTGACAAGTGAATGGTCTCCTGATGGCCAATATTTTATGACGGCTACTACAGCCCCAAGACGGCAAATTGATAATGGGTACGATTGCAACAATCCATGATTACTTTGGTTGAAGAAGTATGTAAATCTTGTAAGTTGTTATGGACCTAAGCAGGATTGTCTTATATGTGTTCTGGGGATTGTGGAAGTCTTAAAACTGCTAAGACTCAATCTCAGATATCTGTCCTTGCTCCGGTTAATCGTTGATCACCTCTCCTGTTCATATTGTATCATATCAATAATTTAGTTGGAAAATCTAAATGATGAATTAAATATTGCTTTTGGCATAGCCAGGCTTTTAACATCATTAATGTGAGGAAAATATGGAAGTAGTGTAATGCAGACGTTCTTTCCCTTTAAGATGTCTTATCATTTATCTTTTCAATCTGGTCAACAGTAGGCTGTTTTCAGTTATTGTGGAAAATTGATTCTCATATGGTTCTAATATCTGTCTAACAGGATGAAAATCTTTCACCACAATGGATCATTGTATTTCCAAAGATTGTTCGATAAATTGTATCAGGTTAGCATTTTTGGCAGCTCTTAGTGTTTCATTGGTTGTCAGAGTGGTTGTTTTGCTCAGGCAAATTCTCATGCTAGCAAGTGTGACAGGTTGATTGGAGACCGGAATCACCAGATAAGTTTGGGGATATTGCAGAACTCGTGAAGTCTGTAGATAATTTGAAAATTCAGGATATTGGTAGCAAAGGTGCTTTTTTCTCCCAACAATTTTTTCACTAATGTAGCAAGTTTCTGGTCCTATTTTTAAAAGGTTGATCCATTTTGATATTAGATGCAGGACAAGGGTCAAAATCCTCCCAGATCTCTTCAAAACCAACACCTCCTAACCCTTCCTCACAGAAACCTGCTGCCTACCGGCCCCCTCATGCTAAAGCTGCTGCAGCTGTTCAAGCAGAGGTACACAAATGCTGCCACATATTTTCCAAGTTCATTTTGTTTTCCGAGTTTTGCATCTATTTGGTCTGTTGACATGCATACCTGCTTTGCTGCTTCTCAATCGGACCTTAGCTTTTCAGATTAAACGGAAATTTTTAATTTTTTTTTAATTTTTTAATTTTTTTGACTTGTAAGCTCTGCTGCTCACCCCTTTCCCTTTGTCGATGTCAATCATGATATGAAGTAGTGTTAGGAATATGTTGTGAGTTTTTCTTGTGTTTGGAGTGACTCTTAGATGCGAATTGACTCATCATTAGGGAAGCCTTTGACAGAGTAGAGTGTCCTTGAGCAGTATTCTGACAGTAGATTCAATATATTCTTCTGAGTAATAATAAAAAAATTGTTTATCCTGATGCTGTGTTACATTATGGGATCTTTATTAAACATAATGATCGAGGGCTGATATTCCATTAGTAATTATCAATATTAGGCTTTTTGAAAACGAAATATTGCTTTATAATGACAATATGAGTGCATAGGGGTGAGATGACTGCGCCAAACATGAATTGTAGCAGCTAACTCGCATAAATTCTGGACATTTGGAAATTTCACATCATGTAATCTTGCTACAGCTTTGCTACCTAGATATTAAATCATGGCCAGTCAATCTGACGCTTGATAGATTGGTGAATGTTAGATGTAAGACTAGAACAGCTCATCATAATTACTTTCTTGCACATGCAGATGGTGTTTTGTTCATTACAGCCATTTGATCCATTCTACTATAAGCCAATCATTATTTACTGTATTGCACAGCATGGTATTTAATATCTCTGAAAGTGATTTTGTCATTTTTCTTCACAAGCGATTAGATGGTGGTTTTTGCTATTATCTTACACCAAAATCAAGACACCGTCAAGTTTGTCTGGGGAGGTTTACTTGATGTTGTTAGAAAAACCTGCAAAAATCATGAATGAAGATTGAATCGCTTTGAAAGAAAGTTTCCTTCAATAATTTCCAATCCTAAAAAACAGACTCTCAAGAGTGTTTCTAGATAAGAAAACTAAATGTTCTCTCATAAGTCTTATATCCACAAGTGACTTAATTGGATCTCTTGCTGCTAGGCAATCTCACTTAAAACTTACATGGTACGAGGATCATACTTATAAGGACAGATACTGTATTGCCTAACTGAACATAGTCTTAGACAATCTAAAAATCACAAATGTAATAAGTTTCCAGTGTTGATTGCTTCATAACCTTTGTTGATATGTTCTAATTGCATTGCTGATGAGTGTATTTGTTTTTACAGCTATTTGGTGGAAATCCTTCTGGGTAAGTATGCCACTCTCATATACTGCCTCCGTACGAAACTATTGTCCAGTTTGAGATTTCAGTTTTGAGTACAAATTGTACTAGAAGTAAAAATTCAAACCGGACAATCATTTTGGGACAAAAGGAGCACTCTTTATACTTTACTATTTGAGTACTATAACTTTTTATATTAGTTCTCATGCTCACTAATCCTCTTAATGTTGAAATATTGTAGAGAGATGAGCAAAAATGCATTGAGAAACAAGAAAAAAAGGGAAAAACAGAAAGAGAGAAAAGCCGCTGAGGCTGCTGGTGCCTCTAATGATGCATGATAAACAAGTCCAAAATTTTTTTAGTATGATGTTGGGTTAGAGATCCCGATTTTACCTTTCGCAGTTGCATTCACATGAAGTTCGACATAGGATGATGCATTCAACAGCTTGGTCTTTCTTTGTCTTTCTTTTTCCTTTTTCCCGCTTTCTCCTTTCCCTATCATTTATTTTGGGTGGGGGAGGGTGTTCTATGTAATTTTGTATTGCCCTTCTCATGTTCTGTTGGAATTTTTGTACCCATGTGGTGATTACAAATGGATACGGGCTGACTTAGATACTTAAGAGTTGACATCGATTTGCTAGAGATTAGAATGTTTGAATTTGGCTTTTGAAGGGTCCCTCAAGAGTTGAAATCCAATTGAAGCTGAACTTTGCTTTTCAAGTTTTGATATTATAGTTATTGGATTACGGTTTAAACTATATTTAACTATTTCTTTTTGGTGAAAAATCAAAATGAGGTTTCTTTGTAACACTAATAGTAGCCCAACTCCAATACTCGTGGAAAACTAATCGTAATAAATGCAAAGCAGAAGCATCTTTTACCAATAACGAAGGGTTTGAACCAAAATTTCTAGATGGACGTCGCGGGGTATTAGTATATCTAATACAGAATTCAAATGTAAAAGATTGTTCTCTAAAAAAGGAAATAGTGAATGAATTGATCGTAAATTATAAGATTGTGTAAAATTAAAAAAATCTAAGCTGATGTGCATATGATTACATCATTTTTTCTTCCTTTTTTTTTTTTTCCTTTCTTTTCCTCTGGCGAAGATTACCAAAATGTAGAAATTTGCTCAATTTTGGAATTGAGACACAGTCTTTTGAAAGTTATAATGAATTATTTCTATCATTCAGATCATAAATTTGGTTGAGAAACCTGTAGGAGCTGCTTCTTTTGACCTGAATAATCCCGATTGCTTAAATAGCAATACTTTGATTGTTTGATTGATTGATTATTTGTGCTATCATCTGACTGTTGTTGCAATAATCAAATTGTAAGAAATGATTTCATCCTTTTCAAGCGCCTCTATTTTTATGTTGCGGAGGCTTTGGGAATTGGAGCTTTATTGTGAAATATGTGAGATTTTATAATCTGCACAACTAAGATTCTATATACAGAACTCTGGTGTTGAAAATTCAGAATATATGTTCTTATTTTTATTTATTTATTTATGTGTTGGCTCCGATGAAATCCTTCAAAATCAAAACCCTTCGGAACTTTTAGAATTGATGAACGTGGAAGGAAACCCACCTCAAGTCTTGAATTCGAATCAGCTCTAAATGTATCAAAACACTGCATGAAACCCTTCCGGGTTAAAAAGTTCGATGAAGAGCTGACGTTTAGCGTAATCACGTCGCTCCAATACTTGACCGATACCAAAGATTCACAATTGATCAAATATATTTGCACGGTAGGAGTCTGGTTGTCTGTAAATCTGGAATCCAGATGATTGAAGCTGCGGAAACATCAATATCAATCCAGCTAGGTTTCTTGCCACAGCTGATGATTAACGTGCGCGGGTAAAAATTTAGGAACCCTTGAACACGATACTCTTCTCCATGGTTTCAAGTCTTGTATAGTTTTCGACTCTGGCAAATCTCCGTTGGACAATGAGGAAGATCTCTGGGTCCGGTATACCGGTATCAAGAATATATGTGGGCGTTGAGCCAAGAGCGATGCAATAAGCCAACAAGTTAATCGGGCGAGGGTTCAAGAAACATTCAGCATTTCCAATTGCTATGATTATCCTAAGAACGAAGAGACCTTATAACCAAAAAAAAAAAAAAAAGGTGCACAAGAAATATCTTTTGGTATGGTTATCATTAGCTCTCGCAGCAAGGGTACCCTGGGAGGATTAGTTTTGGGTCAGGACTAGGTTTTCCAGAAGCCCTGGCCACAGGCCACACCAACCAACCATGACAGAAAGAAAAAAGACTAATGAATTTAGACGACGAGATCATTTCAGAGACCTTATATCACTCACTACAGCCTACCCTTGGATGTTCCGGATTATCTGTACATCTTTGCATCACTGGTTAATGAGCAAGAATGAAGATACCCTAGACCGAAAGTATAATCTTTAGACGTCACTCGGGGCAAAAATCATGTACAGGGCTGCAGAGTAAGGTTTCTGAATAGAGTTTTAGAAAGTGCAGTCGGCCCAAGGAAATGCAGTCATTCAAATCATGATGTGTTCTCTGCAGATTGTGATCCACCGGCAACTTCTTCAGGCACTGCAGACTCTTCATTCTCACCTTTGATTGGTTTCTTGAACTGCACCAATATCATCGTCATGTTGTCACATCCTTCTCCTCCAGCTGTAGATGGGGCAAGACACCTATCCATTACTCTTTCACACACAGCAGAAAGTTTTGTCTCCTGCATAAATTCACAGGCAAAAGTCAAAGATAATAAGCTACTGAAAATAGTAAGATCAGGTTGAAGAACAACATTCGCTGTACACAAAAACAAAGAACCACAAGCAGTACTGGCTGAATGATATCAGCAATTACAATCCTACAGTACTGTAACACCCTCAAGCAACTACCAAATGAACTTGGAACCTCAAAGAAGCACAATTGAAAACAAATATTACTTACAGAATGCAACTGCTCATGTATGTAATCTACAAGTTGCTGGCTCGACATACAGTCCCTGAAGCACCAAAGGGAGAAAGTAAACCTATCATCAGAATGCTATTGAATAATTTTCTTAACAAGAAACCAAATGATAAACAGGAAGCATTAAAGATAAAATGCCAACTGCCAAGATATATCAAGAACTTATTCGGAAAGAAATGCCTCTGGCCGTGAACCCACTAACATAGGTATATAGCCAATCCAAAGTATAATCTCATTTTGCGCCATTTTTCCCCCCCTACAATTAATTGGCTGCAAGCTCAAAATTGTCCTGGACATTATTAATAAGCTTAAGAAAAGTCCTTTCCCAGCTCAGGTAGGCTTGTTAATTCCTTTCACATTCAATCCTGTCTTCTCTGTTCCATTTTTTTTTTTTAATTTATTAAAACAACAGCTGATCACTAAAGGACACACAAACCTTTATTCAATCATGCAAAGACTTAATATCCCCTTAAAAGATCAAACTTATGAAAAATGTCCAAAAACCAAAAAGAAATATCTCTCAATCCAGAGCCATCTTCAAGAGGCTGAAACATTTAGATCAACTATAAGTACTTTGCATTGTGTACTCAAAAGTACTAGTCTAATGCAGTGTCTGTGTTGTATCTCTGACAGATCATGGCAATAATAACACCATTAAGAGAGTTGAGATGCATTGGGCAATGCCTCCAAACACATAGCTATGACATGATCACATCCACTCACAACTGCCAAAATAGTGCAAATGGCCACTAAAGGCTGCGCACTTTGTAAACACTAGTTCCCCTCAACAGAATTAAAATTTCACAATGCCATGCAGTAAAGACTTGACCAGGATGTATTTTATAAATGTTTCACTTTTTACCAATTGAGGCTGATAGAACCAAGCTTTGGTTGTGAGAAATGCTACTTTCCAACAAAAACAAGTAAAACTTAACTTGAGGATACAATTAAAGGGTCTCATAGAAGGAAATGTTGTATGGCTTACCAAATACCATCACAGGCGAGCACTATAAAATCATCATCATCGCATAGCTCCACCTAATTACAAAATCAGTGGTCAATTTATTACTCTGTAAACGTTGCTGAAAACTTATACCAGGACAAGCATAACACTAAAGGTAGGTAGTACAGTCAAAGCACTAAAACATATACATTTCATCAGCTAAGATCATTTTGCATTCAACTATATATATATATATATATATATATATATATATATATATATATATATATATATAAAGAAAGGACCAACTATTCGTTCCAACGGCTAAATACCCCCAAGCGGAGGAATGTACTTGGTCAGACAGCCACTTAGTGGTTTTACAAGAGCTCCTTAATTATCACTATTTACCAACCTAGCTAATTGCTTAATACTAGAAAACTAAGTGAAAGAAGATTAAGAAAATTAAAAGGAAGAAGAAACAAATAAAAACCATTACAAACAAGAAACAAATAAACACCATTACAAACAAGACTAATACATTAACTTTGAGCAATTATGATCCACTAACTAAATTTCAATCATTGCAAACTGAAATTGCCAGGTCCTGTATTAAAAACTCTGGAAACCTCATCAAGTTTATACTCCACCGAAAAAGTACCATAATTATTCAATCTTGTAAGATTAAATGGACGAAAAAGGAACAAGAAGACTAAAATATTAATTTCCTACATTCAGGTTCAAATATAGAATAATATATGATATAACACCAAATAATATAATGGTTATAGTAGTTATATGATATAGAAGCACATAACAAGAAGGATTCTTACAATGTTTATATCTGGATTAGCAGTAACGATTTGCTTCTCAGCAGGCAAAAACTTATTCTGCTTGAACTCCATATCACCTGAAATAAATTTTAAATTTCCTCAGTTATATGTATTCCTCAGGTTACATTCAGCATTTCTGAGATTATCAAATTTACAGAATTCAAGGTGTAGGTCAACTCAATGGGATTAAAAGCTATAGTTTCAGCCCAACAGACATGCAAAAGGAGTTTTTCTTAATTCTCACAAAAACAAACACTTACAGAAGTCAACACAACAATCAACAAACAGGACCATACCTATGGCTCTTGCAAGATTTAGACTACCATTGACACGGCCAGCATGAATAAAACCTCCTGCTTTTAAAATCCGGTCCCTCTCCAATTCAAGATCAGGTTTGTGATCCCTTGAAAGGTTATATGCCTGGGCACAATGAATCCGTCATAAGCTGATTATCAGTCATCCAAGGTACAAAAAGCGGAGTATAACATGGAGCACATAGAGGTCACTATGCACTTAAGAGCAGAATGACATGCCACCAGAATGGCCTACTTCTTAAACAGACAAATTCACATATCGTGTCATTGAGAAAAATATACACACCATTCTTCCGCATTACGATTTTCTTGTCCCAAAATTTCTAAGCAGAGGTTGAAGCATCAAAATTATAGTTACCTGACCCTTACGAGATATAACACACCGCGAATCGCCGGCATTTGCAACAACAAGTTTGTTCTCCCTAACAATTGCAACACATGCTGTGCTCCCAGATGTTGGCCCAGAAAAATCAGAATGTGGCCCCTGAAATAATAATGATGGAAAGAAACATTAAAAGAAGTAGAAAGAAAGAAACAAAATGAAATAGCTGTAAAAAGCAGTGATATCATAGCCCCAACAACAAAAGAAGCATCCTATAAGGGGATAAAAAGCAGATGACTACTTCAGCAACCATTTATCAATTTGTTAAGTAGCTATAACTACGAAAAAAAAATTTGACAAAATAATTAAAATCAAGATAGAACTACACGAGATTTCCCAATAAAAAATGAACCCAAGGTAGTAATTCTTTAAAGATACTCAGTGATACTCTACAAATCAAACAAGTCCTAAAATATATACCTACAGCAAGTCCAAATAAAATGCAGTGACAAAGGATAGTAGCAACTACTGTATTTCTTTTAATTGTTGCCAATGTGCCACTTCGCACTAAAAGACCATGTTGCACAAGATTTCTACATTTTGCTAAGAGAAAAGCTAACTCATATCAAGAAAGGACCCCCCACATAAGTTTTCCTTATGTTCTATTAGAAAGTTTTCCATTGCCACTTAGCCAACTGAAACTCAAAAAACAAAACAATAAGTTGCAACTCTGCCAGAAAAATAAGCTTCCAGCAAAAGTGTCAAACTTCAATCACAAATGCAGGCGATGAAGTATGTGGCTACCTAAATTTGAAACTGGAACAAGAAAAGGCAAAACATATACAAATACGTATGTAAATAAAGAGATAGAGGGAAATGTCCTTCTGAAATGATCTTTACTTGCCTCTCATATTGGCATGAAGCACCAATTTATAAATATATTCGACAAAAGTAATGTAAAAGACAGAAAAGTTATTTAAAATACAACAGAATGCTCATTTCTCTGATACTGTATGAACTTAAAAAAGCAAGATCCTACTCATGAAAGCAAAAATTTTCAGATGAATGACCATCAAGCCACAGTATTCAATCTAACAATTCATCCTTAAAATATGTGTGGAATTCTTCAAGTATAAACCCGACAATACGTCAAAAGAGAGAGGCTTAATAATGCCGTTTACTCTGAACATCAAAGTACAAGTTCTCATTACAAGCTGGAATCATCAATTTACTTGACAAATGAATCCACAAGGCGTTAATACATCTTAAAAACGACTCAAGACATCTTATTAAATGTTTACCTCCTCGAAGGCCCAATCATCCACCTGATCGTTAGCATCACTACTTCTGGGTGACCAAATCAAACCCTCAATCATACCAGTAAATTTATTGATTTTGTCACCCAAGACCGCCAATTCCCTCCAACCGCGCTGGCCACGCATCATTTCATCCATTCTGCAGCAAACATCAAGTACAGATCTAAGTCACAACACCGAGACAGGAATAGGTAAACAAACTGCTGATTTTGTTCAACCTTGTCTTCCATTTGGTGCTGTTACTAATATCAAAGAGAGCATATATCTCTGAGCAACTTATCAGTTTCAGATTACACATTATAATAAAATAGTCCTCCCCTAAAGGATACTGATACTTCGCATGGATTTGGATTAACTTGAAAAGTAAATATTTAAGGCCATCCAACAAACAGCTAAATCCAAAAAATATCCAAATGCATACAGTAGTTTTAAATTGGTACCCCTTATAGGCCAGTCCAGTGTGTTGAAGTCAGCTCACGTGGGGTGCAGGCGACAGGCCCTGGAGCCTAAGGCAGCCTTAACTAATATTTCAAAAGGAGGCTATTTAACACAACTCTCGACCCCGATCCAATAGCTATTTGTAGATACTACTCTAGTAAAATTTCACAAGCTCACCTTGGGGGGATAAAGTAATTAACAAACGACTATTTTCAGCTTTAAGGGAACAAATTCCATGAAAACATTTCTTCTTAGAAGTACCAGAAGCCACAGCAAATTAAGTGAGAACGCAACTTATGGTGAAGAAATTAAAAAGTCCAGCTGATGATAACCTGAAGAAAGCTTTCTGAAGAGAGGTTCCTATATCACCAGCCGCATATGCTTCATGCTTGAGAACTTGTTTGTGAAGGTATTTTGCGCAGAATTTAGCAACAACTTTACCTGCAAGAGATTTACATTTGATTAAATGTCTACTGCCACATCTTTACAGAAATGATTTTAAATTTCTATAGAGGCAAATAAATGCATGAAAATTTTACCCTTAAGAAATACCCTCCTCCACACATGGCACATGTATACACCTATTGCTAATAGAATTACTACCACCATTTCACCTCAATATCTCAAGAAAATAATATTTCTTTGGATGCATCCTGATAGCATACTGAGATTTATACAATAAAAAGTAGAACGAAAAACTGAACCGTGACAACATTCCAGCATCCTATGTGTTTCTGGCTAATTTCAATCTTATGCAAGCACTTGACCATTTCAAAAAGAATCAGCTAATCATGTGCACAGTAATAAGACTTGTAAATGAGTGAAACCTGACCTCCATGACCGTCATAAACACCAAAAAAGGAAGTAGAAGCATCAAGATCGGTAATTGCTGCATGCTACATGAGGATAACATTCATTAGAGGTTTCCAACAATATTTAAAAAAACATATAAGCATTCATTTGACGATGTGCAATGGGATATATGAATGAAACCTCACTGACATGTCCTGAGAAAATATTTTAATGATGTAATTTAGATGAACCCCCTCTTTTCAGGGAAATTAATACAATTTTTGGTTATCCACGATCGTATCATTCACCGGCAGAAGAATGTATACATAATATTAAAACAAGAGAACACCTAAAAGGGACCATCTTGTGTAAAAACAAACAGCTCACTAATGGAGATAGAACCTACAATTTTTGGAGAGTATGCAGGTTTTGGCACCAATGGCAAGTTAGGATTATGGTATATGATGGTAAAAAGGTGTTAATGAAATAACATTTCATTATAAACAAATTGGATATTCCTCATCTACAATCAGCCAAGGAAGCAAGTCAAGACAAACCACAACATCCTTCACTGAGAATTTTAAGCATAGCAGGATATAGTACCACTAATTAGACTAGGATCCAAACTACACCAGCACTAAAAGCACATGATGTTAAACTGGATACTCACAGCATCTTCCATCGTCGCCCGCCATCCTTGCATGGATGATAGACCATACTTAAGCCTTCTGTTCTCACCATCTTCAGAAAACTTATCAGTTTTCGGGGTGCTAAGATATACACCCATCTCTTCCAACTGAAACCACAAAACAGCAGTTACGAACCACCCAACCAAACGATAAAGCACTTGAACAAACAGGACGTTAACATAACAGGGATCACACAAAGCATAGAGCTCTGAGATTTCAATGCACACCAATTCCAGTTGGAAGAAAAGGAAGGGAGTATTTAAAGTTAAACTATTGAAATTCAGAGATCCTCAAAAAGCAGAAAACAACAAAACAAAGTCCTGAAATACCTCTTCACCTTGGTCCCAAAAGAACTTGCAAGGGAAAAAAATTACTGCAATTAGAAACCAAGATCAAAATCTTTACTCAGCCTGATCAAGATAGTCCTCTTCTCACTTCATCAATTTCTTATTGCAAGCGCCCACAAGAATATCAGCGCTAAAAAAAAGCCATCACAAGAACACAACTCAAACTCGGAAAGAACTAAAAGAGAAACTTTATACCCCAAAAAGATTCTTCAAAGATCAAAACAAATTGAACTCACGCGAGAAATGCTACCGTCTAAATCATATTCAAGTGAAGAAAGCAAAACCGAAAACATTATACTGCACTAATTTGACTCCAGTGAAGATTTACGCGAAAGGTAAACAACAACCCATTCGTTTTTCAGGTGATGATCAAGAATCGCAAAAATCAGTTCAAAAATTGTATCCAAACAGTTAATAAAAGAAAGAATGATTCGACGTTAATAACAAGAAGGGCGTCACCAAGAACCATACTAGCCCAGGCAAAAAAAAAAAAAAAAAAGCTTCTTGAACTGTTTCAGAGTAATCCCAAATGGAAAAAAACAAGAAACCCAAGTAAATTCTCAAATTCCCACCACCAAATAAGCGAAACTCCAGAAGGGTTCATCAAATGAAACTCAATCATGAACATAGACAAAGGAGAAGAAGAAGAGGAAGAAAAAGAAAAAAGCAAAAAAAAAAAAAAGAAGAAACTTACTTGAAAAAAAAGAAGACAAAAGGGTTAACGTCCAGAGAAACTTTTTTCAACTTTCTGAAGACTAATAAAGAAGATCAAAGAATCAGTGAGGGGGTGATGGAGAAGGGGAAGGTTTGGGTTTTGGATTATGATAATCTCTTGGGCATTGTGAGAGGGATACGACTGTTTGTGATTATTCTCTCTGTATCAAATTAAAAAAAATGACACCATTTTTTAATCCCAACTCCTCATCTGCCATTATCCATCTCTTCATTCCCTTTTGTTTTCATTTCATTTTAATCCAAATTGATTTTTATTAATTTTTCAATGAATATTAAATGGTAAAGTTGCAACAAGATAATATATGCTGTTGTTGGGATTTTAGTTGAACGATTCTGTAAAATTTTCACATTCGCAAGAGAGGAAAAAAAAAACCGCAAAAACTCTATTGTAATATGATGAAAAATTAAGCAAATGATATTTTTTTTTCTTTTTTCTATTGTAAGCTGTTTCTTTTTATTTTTAATAATTTATCTATGGTCTCTATGTCTAAATAGAGTCAAATACTTTGTGATATACAAAAAAAAAATAAAATCTTTCAACTCTTTAGAAAAGAAAAAACATACAAAAGAAAAGAGTTTGGTTTTGTTTGATTTATTTTTTTTTATTTTTATTTTCTTTTGCATAGTCCGGATTTTTCCAACTTTTTTTGAGTGTTTATATTTTTAATGCAATTGTTGTTACATTTAAAAGAAAAAAAATACTTGCGTACTAAAACATTTCAAGCAAAACTGACGATGAAAGTATGCATGCATATGAAAATGAAAGAGATTTCAGACAATGATGGAGTTGGAAGACAGGCGTATCCCTTTCATTTTTCTACTACTCACTCCGCTCATTTTGATTTTTGTAAACTTTCTTTATTGTGTTTTTCAGTTAAAAATAAAACTTTAAAATATATTCTCATATTTATTGTGTTACTTAATTATTAGAAAACATTTTACAGTTTTTATTTTTAATTAAAAAAACACAATAAATGAAATTTAAGACAAATCAAAATATTTTATAATAAGAACATCCGAGTACTTAAAATAAACGATGTTTTATATTTGACTCATTTTAAACCTATTTTTGAAATATTACTCTTATTAGATATTTTCATAAATTTTGCACCAACTTTCTTTAAATTCCTGACTCCGCTTTTAGATAGTGTTATATTAGATTAGATGGGCTTCTTGGTTTGGCGGGCAGATGCAGATAGGCATCAAATTAAAGGTTGGAAGTTGGAACAGAACTTTTTGATGTGATGAATTATGGTTTGGTGGGCGGCGCAGCTTTTTTAATTTGAAGATATATTTTCTTTAAAATGTTCAAAAAAGAAGAGATATTTCACCAGCAAAGAAAAAACAATAGAAAAGGTTGAATTTAATATGTGAAAAAAGTGAATGATTGATGTTTGGAGTGTAAAGAAGAATGTTGTTTTTGGTTTTGGATTGATCCTTTGCATCTTCCTTGAAAGTGGCCCCCTTTAACTTATTGGTGGTGGCTAGATATTCTTTCATTTGTCAGTTTAGAATAAGAAAAAATTCAGTCCCTCCATCCCATAATTATTGTCTAGTTTAGATTTTTATTTCTAGTTTAAATTATACTAAAAGTGAAATTTCTAACTGGACAATAATTTTAGGACAGGAGGAGTTCATTAAATTAAAGTGGTTATGTTATCATAAGATTTTGATTCAAAAGTCAACAATAGAGACCATGCATATATTGAAAAGTCTAGTTCTTGATTTGGATTTTGGACCGTATTAAGTTTGAGTGATCGAAACGTAGTAACATATTAGGGTTGGAAATTGTGTAGCATCTATTTTTACTATTATTATTTCAAAGTTTGTATCGTAATTAAAACGTAACGTGTTTTATATAAAATTGTTGAATATTATAAAAAATGACTTATTGTATTTAGTTGGAATCTTAAAAAAGTTTTATTATGATGCATATTATTACATTTATCTAAAATTTCTTACAAAACTCAACTATAACTAAGAACTAGTTGGTAAATTAAATATAAATACTAATTTTGGAAAATAGAATGATCTGAATGATCAAAATAAAGAATGACATGAGAGTTGCCCCAAAATTGATCTATGGAACCAAATCTTTTGTTCAATGGGGAAAAAATAGTTGATACAATTATTTTTCTTCTATCACAAGTCACGACCAAAACCTTGGATTCCTACTGTAGACTTTACGTTTTAGTCCAAAATTTGCATTTTGTTGCAAGGAAAAACTATTATGTTCATGTATTAAGTGACATTACTTTAGGGTCGGTCGGTAGTAAACAAATCTATGTAATGTACTTCCTCTATCTTGCATCTATCTATTTTAGCAATAACAAACATTCTAATATGTTTGGATCAGTTTTTCAGTGCGTGTGTTTTTAGTTATTTTTATATTGAAAGTGTAAAAAAGATGTATTGAAAATATAAAAATGTATATTTGGATCGGACAGTTACTAACATTTAATTTTGGAAAAAAAAAAACCTACTGAAAAACAAACCAAACAGATATGGTCCAGAACTTATCAGTTGATAAAACCTAATTATTTGAAGACTTTGAACTTTGACAAAGCGCTACAATGTGTATAGGCGATAACTTGTGTAATTCCTTATGGATATTTATTTCTTGTTTTCCTTGTATCTCTGTACAAATTAATTCTCTTTCTTATCGTTCAAGTTGCCTGAATTCACTCAAGGGGTAAAAAAAAAAAAAAAGAAAAAGTCAAACAAATAAGAAATGAGTGGAACCCTTCTTGAATCTAAATCAACTGCATTTCCATTAAAAGGTTGTTATCTCCAGCCAAGAATTTGTAAATGTTTCCATTAACCTCAACATTGCTACATCCAGCAGTCTTTGTAACACCTGAGTCATTCATCATGTCAATCCACCTGTTTGCTTCATCATATTGTTTGCAAGAGGCAAATAAATTGGCCATCATCATGTATTCTCCATCACTCAACTCTTCATTTCTCTTCAACAACAATGCCAATACTCTTTCTGCGATTCCGGCATTGCTGTACTTCACACAAGCAGCAAGCAGAGAACCTAGTGCAGACTTACACGGCTCGAATGGCATTGATTCGATGATTAGGAACGCGTCGTCTAAGTAACCAGCTCTGCTCAGAAGGTCAACGAGGCATCCGTAGTGTTCCAGCTTGGGACTAATTCCATATTCCTTCTCCATAGAGCTGAAAATCCCGAGACCCTTCAGAACTAATCCTGCGTGAGCACAGGCGCTAAGTAAGGCGATAAAGGTTATGTCATCAGGCCTTAGATCATTTCCCATCAATGCAGCAAACAGTTTCAGGGCCGCGAAGGCGTGACCATGAAGAGCTAGCCCTGAAATCATAGCATTCCAGCAATAGATATCCTTTATCTGAGACTTGAAGAAAACTTCTATGGAACTCATAATCCTTCCACATTTCGAATACATATCTATCAAAGAAGTTGTAACATGTGGACTTCTTGTTAGTCCTTCCTCGAGAGCGAAAATGTGCACCTCTTTGCCCTTCTCCAGTGATCCCAAATTGGCACAAGCAGATAAAACAATGGCGATTGTTAAATAGTCAGGATTACAGTTTTCGTCTTTCTTCATTTCTTCAAACAAAGCAATCACCTTATCAAAACTACCTGAACCCGAATATCCAGTAAGCATCGTGTTCCAGGTGATCGTGTTTCTGGAAGGCGCTTCTTCAAAATAAAGCTCTGCCCTCTTCATTTCTCCAGCATTACAACAGGCCAATATCATGGAATTCCAAGAAATAATGTCTCTTGTTGGAATTTGATCGAAGAAACTCTCAGCTAATTTCAGGTTTCCAATTCGAGCAAATCCAGATACCATTATGTTCCAAGACAGGAGGTCGTTACAAGGTATCGAATCAAAGATTGTCATTGCATTCGTCATGTCACCAACAGATGCATATGCATCCAACATTGAGTTCCAGGCGACCTCATCTTTTGCAGAAATCTTCTCGAAAACTCTCCAGGCCTCATCGTTGCGTCCCAAATGTGAGTACAGATTGAGCAGAGCAGTCTGGACGAAAGAATGGTCGCTGAAACCAGTCTTTATTATCTGACCATGAAGGGCTATTCCAACTCCCTCCAGGGACAGATTTGCAGCAGCTTTAAGCAGAATAGGATATGTAAAATTATCAGCAGAATGACCAAGCTCTCGCATGCGCAGGAAAGTAAGCATGGCCTTTTCAGGTTTCCGTTCAAGCAACTGTTTCTTTATTATCTTGTTCCAAGATGCTTCAGTCCGAGGAAGAACAAGACTATAAGAAAGGGTAGCCACCATTGAAAAGCTATTTTGGCAGTTGAAAACAAAGAAAAGCTTCATCAGATGACGGTTTAGAATGAGAACATTATCTACGAGATTTTAAATGTAGGCCACACGAAGATGCAAGAATGATAAGCTTTTGTCCAAAACATAGAATAACACATCCAGAAATGCGTACCTTATCACATAAAACAATGACAGTAAAATGGAAGAAGAAGTAGAAGTATTTTACACATTTTTGAGAGTTGAATGACTATGGATAATTTCGAAATCCAAATTGTCTAGTAATCTTGTGATCTTATTTTACTCCTTGGGATGAATAAAATACTAATGTACTAGTTTCTTGCCCTTAAATCTCATACCACCGCTATCTCAAAAATATAATCATGGTCTCGCAAAAAAGGCTATTTTTAAAGGATTCCAGCAAATAATTTCAATCAACAAAAAAAAAAAAAAAAAAAAAAACAACAACAAAAAAAGAAAAAAAAAAAAAGAAAACCAGCAACATCATGTTAGCAGACAGCAATCCATCAGACTATGAAACCCTTCTTGACATATGTAAAAAAGGAAATGGATCTGTAATAATTCAAAGGCAAACAAGAACCTTTGGAAGAGAGCAGCTTGCATCATTACTTTGCTAAGGACACATTCACCAATCTCTTCAACATCCAAAGAAAAAGAAATGTATTAGGTGGGAACTGGGTTATATACTATTCTTCCAGGTCGATATCGAACAAGGAGCTAACCAATCGAACAATAAAAAATGCATGACTAAATGAACGACATTGCTAACTCTATATACCGATATGAAATTTACAATTGGTGGCATGTTGCACAGGCGCACAAGTAAATTTTTCTAACAAAACTAATTACATTCGAAGCATTTGAATTTTAAATCTTTGGTACCAGCAGCAAAGAAAGAGAATGATGGAATCAAAATTTAATGATCTACTCTACACTTCAAATGCTTAAATCTCTCGATTATGTAGCCATTACGCACGGATAAGGTTGAAGGAGCAGTTGATGACTGGCCTATGCTGCAAGAAGCTTCTTGATATCCTTCTGCAACATTTGAAAAGACAGAATCAATGCGAGAATTGCTTGAGACGTTGATATCATTCAAATGTAGCAGCTACATAGCCTTGGACAAGGCCACAAGGGTGGCAGACATTATATAGAACGACAGAAAAGCAAAGTTTTCATTTCCTTTTTACTTCTGATAAGCACTTGTATGAGCAAAATGTAAAGTTTCAGCATCAACCAACCAAGATGGTAAGATAGACTTCCATAAAACAAGATCAAGTAACTTAGTAATGATTTAGCTACCTCGTAACTATGATTTTCATCTACACAAGCATACGAAATGCAATTCGGGAAAGAGCCCAAAGAGAAATGTCATATACATGAAAAAGGCTCAGAAACAAGGAGAGGAAGAGATAACACTTCTGATTGAAAAGTGCAGGGTTCATGATACTGTGTAAAAGATTGGATCCATTTTATGCTCTCTCCAGCACATAGGGCAATGTCAGCCTCAGGAAGCTATCATTAAGACAGGACTGCAATAATTGCCAAATCACAACGTCTGAAGCCGAAGCCAGTTCAACACTTTCACACTTATTTCTATCAGGATTAGGCTATAAAGGGGGGCAAGGCCATACATGAAAGTGCATTCAAGAAGCTGACAGCTATATTCAACTAAATGCAGAAAGCTGAACTACAAAGGCACAATTGAAATAGTGGAGAAGATAATTAGAATGTAAGTACGATGCAAATCTACACTCAGATTACTCGTTCAGTTCTTCAACCCATCTAATTTTAAGCAAAGGATTAAGGATGAGAGGTACACATCTAATGAGAACATAAATGTAGACAAAGTTCACTATGCATCCATATCTTGAAAGAACACGGCTTTTTTCTTCAGATTGAATGTGATACTGTGAGGGTCTTATACACATCCAGACAGATTTAAGTCCTAGATATCACTATAAATCTCTTCCATCTAATTATATTCAATAATAATCCAACTAGTTTCTCCATTAGGTTTAACCCTTCAAGAGCAAGTTACTACTGGGCAGCTCTTGCAACATACCGCACAACAGCAAAACCATTGTTTTACAGACCGGGAACTCATGAGAAAAAAAAAAGAACACTAAGACTGTGAAGTCTCTTCCATCATTGAAATCCCTAACCTTCTCATCACGTGGATGAAAAAATCTAGCTAGAAATAACTCTTATTACTGGAATTTCACTACTAAAGGTTCCTGCATGATAGATTTTAAACAAATATACTACGTGAGGGTAAGGAATGAAGTAAAGCTCCTAAATGGTTGTTCCAAAGAATTCAAATATGTACACCGTTAAATCTTCAAATCTTTATATTGTATTTACGTTTTATTCTTCCCATTTTCTCATCTATCATGGTCATTATGATTCCAAATGTATTACTCCAGCCAGAAGTGAAAAGATACCTCAATCTGGAACGGTGATGTCGTAGGTGGATATCTTTCAACAACTTTGCCATTTTTGTCCACCAGAAACTTCTCAAAGTTCCACTTGATCAAATCACCCAAAAACCCACCAGCATTTGATTTCAAAAACTGATAGACTGGAGCAGTATTGGGTCCATTAACATCAACCTGTGTACAGTGAAGTTGTTGGTCCATTAACTTTTCAGCCCTTAATTTCTCCCAGTGAAGTTGTTGTCTCCATTCAAGAATAGTGAATAAGGAAAATAACTTCAAAATTACCTTATCAAAAATTGGAAATTCTGCTTTAAATCGAGTACAAGCAAACTGTTTGATATCAGAGTTCGATCCTGGTTCTTGCCCCCCAAATTGATTACATGGAAAGGCTAGAATTTCAAATCCTGCATTCAGGAGTTTAAGGTCATTAATAATATGGAAAAGAACAATAGATAATCATGTATTTAATATTGTTATAAGATGCACTACATGATCATAAGTCCTATGCGTATATCATCTTTGCAAGGAGATTTCACCACAAAAGTCTACAAAAGAAAAAAATGGGGACATACTAAAAAAAACTACGGAGATCGTAGCTAGACATCATATAAGCAGGGAATCAAATGTAGTCTTAGTTCAAATAGGCTATTTATCTCCTATATCTACATTCCATTACGCTAATGGTCCAGAATACAAACACCTAGTTATGACCAAAAATCACAACACAAATTTTGAAAGGTTTCAACCCCACCCAGACAATTGAGCTCAGTAAGATAAACTACAGGAGAGCAAAGAGAACAATGTAATGGAATGCAGTAAGCTAATGTGAGAAATAGCATGAAACTATAATCCATCAAACAGGCTGACAGTTTATTTGCAAACCCGTGAATTCTGCTTAAAAGTGAAGACCTGAAGTTAAAAATAGGTAATCAAATAAACCTAATAACCAGGATTAAGATGTGGTATAGAGATTTAAACGCAGGACATTTAAGGGCAAAACAACCACAAAAGGAACATCGGCTGGAATGTTCTACTCTGATTGTATAAATTGATAATTTGCATTGTGGAAAAAAGAGAGCCAAATTTATCATGATTTAAGAGCATGATCAAATTATTCTAGAACCTAGAGTGAGTAAGGGAGAATCCATAAGCAACAGTTTATTGAGCAAAAGACATAATAAACATTTAAACGCCTCTTAATGTGAGTCAAAGCAGTGGTAAGAATGAGATGAACACCTCAGGAGTGGAAGAAATGATTACTTAAATGTTACTGTGGTTAGGTTCGTAACTGTTTCACTTTTCCTTCTCAAAGATCACGTCAAAGCATGTTTGTCCTTTCTTTTTCCCTTTATTTTCATAATCTAAGAAAAAATACTCTCTTGTGCATTCAGCACCTTTGCTTAGATAGCCTTAAGGTAGGAATTGATATGAATAGTTTTTCTTCCTGATAACATAAAACCGGAAACTTCACCATATTGATAGATTACGCTGGGGATGCATTAGGGAAGTATTTCCTATATGATCCACACAAATCAGCCTAACATTTGCCATTTTTTTATGGCAGGGAACCCCAGAGGAATGGGGGAAAAGGACAGAGTGGTCACTCAGGTTTGATGTATACATGGTAAAAATATAAGCACAAAAACCATTTCCAGCGTTAGCTAGTTATAATGCAAATACACTTTGTGCTTCTTAAGGAATTGGAAAAGCTTTTCTCATTAAGCAACATCAGTCATCCATGGAAAAATCTTTGAATTGTATAGAATGAAGATGTAGGAAAACCACCAGTAGAGAAGAGGGGACTCATTTACTTGACGTGTTCTTGCTTACCTTATCTTTATATAATGAACAAACTATCGAAATAAGAATGCCGAGATAAATGTGCTGACACACAATGGTAGTTTTTTTAAAAAATAAAAAATAAAAAAATTGAATGGTAAAAGTGAAGTAGGCTCAAAGAGCTGAAATAGTAAGAGAAACATGACTAAAGTGATTTGTATAAGTGTATCTAGGCTTCCAAATCCCTTATTACGGCATTTTAAAAAGGGAGAATTGTAACACAAATTTAAAAAAGGAAAATAATATTTCAACCTGTGTTTTCCAAATCATGGCGGAGATATATTTTCCACATAGTCAGCCCACACAGTATGATAACGGCTTATTTCTTGTATAGGGAACTTATAAACTTTTGACAAACTATTACGTCAATCAATCAAAAGGGTATATACCCCTTATCCTTCTACAGTTTTGAAATGTAAAAGGGAAGTCACTGCATTAAGAATTTTAAAACAGAAACACCCTCTGAACAAAACTATATATAAAAGATAGAAGCAAAAATATTCCAAGATTCATTAGTAAAGACTAATATGACCTAACAGCCATAAAATACTCAAATTTCATAAAAAGGATCTAAAGAAAGCCAAAAAAGTCCTTTAAGCAGAATTCAAGGAAACCACTGTCTTAGTACATTTTGTGAATCAAAGCAGGCTGCTTGCAGAGTAATTAGACATTATCATATTTATAAAGGCACTGCGATTGAGCAGAGGTATACCCTGCTCTCAAACACCAGATCAGGAAATATTTACACAAAAGTGGTTTGAGTTCATGTAAGGTTTATAAGTAAATTTCTCACCAACAACACCCCAGGCTCATAGCAAAGACAAACTAAAGATAATGGACCTGAAATACCGTACAGTATTTCTGTTGTAATGCATGCATCTGACTGGAGATTTCAAAACAAAACACAATCTCACCTTGACCTTTGTATTTCTCATATATGTGAGAAAGCTCCGTATAATTTGACGATGTCAAGCCGCTGAAAAAAATTACATATAAGTCAGATAACCAAGCATAAAGCATAGTCGCATACAGCAGATCATAGAACAAAGCTTTGACTAAAATTTCCACTAGGAACCTAATCTACAAAGTTAACCAGGAAACAATAGAATGACAACAATCCACTAATCAAAAAAATACCATTTAGAAGCTACATTGACAATCAGAAGGACCTTTCCCTTGAAACTGCTGAGTGAAATATCATTCTTATCAATATCCTGCGGAAAACACCAAAACGAAAATAAAAAATGAATGTTTAATGATGCACCCCAATATATAATTTCAACAACCCGCACTAAGTTAAAGAAGAAATCAGAGACATGAAGGAAAAGAACCATCCAATTCAAAAAAAAAAGGAACAAGTTTTCCAGGCAGACTAAACAACTGAATTAACAGAGAAGAAGGTCCAAGCATATTCAGTAACTTTTTGTGTTTATGGATAAATAACGAGAAAAATTTAACACTGACAGAAGGATGAGCACAAGGAACAATGAGGAATGCAAAATTCGAAACTTTTGCATTATAGAGCCGCAAACGTCAAGTCTAGTTCTTCTAATCCAATACTTGTGTATACTGTTGAATAGATTTTTGGACTTTGGAATTGCCAGTAATTCACCTTCCTTTTTTTTTTTTTGGCTCAAATTAAGAGTACTCATCCCATTAAGTTATCATCAGACGAAAACATTTGCAAATGATTATATCTCCCTTCCGCAGCATTTAGCAAAGAAAAGGAATTCTACACAGAAAATCCTCCATGCATAAGGGACCACCGTGAAATCCCATTTCAGGTTTGCCCAAACTATAGAAACTAGGATAAAAGTTTGATTTCTTTGGTGTCTTGGAGACAGATCAAAGAGGTAATCCCTCTGAAGTGAACCACAAGATAGCATTTAATAGTTAAATATGCATTTAATGGTAAATATGCATTTAATAGTTAGCCTTTTATGGCATCAATCTTGCTCAACCCAACTGTTAGGTAACCATTCAAAGAAAGGATTAGCACATCCGAAAGTTTTCATTAAGTAAACTATTGCTGGAAAGACAAATTCAGCAACATGATTTCCACTGAACGCATCTACCAGTTATATATAATTTGCAACCAACAATGAATCAAAGTCTACTCCATCATCATAATTTTACGGGAAAATCCTAAACCGCATCAGTTTGCTTTAAGTTCCGATCAACATGAGAATAAAAAACATTCAGACACCAACAAAGAGGGGAACGGTAATTGCGTATTGAAATATAATCCGAACAGAATGACAAGCCAGAATTAGAAAATGAAAATGAACAATTGAGTCCTCAACACCCCTTCCCGCAAGAGAAAAGGCTTACCTTGACAGTGTAATCATAAATACTCTTCCCGGTAGCAGCCCTGGCAAACACAGTACTAAAAGGTGAAGACTTTAGCAGAAACCCAGATAGATTTCTGGATGGAACAGACAACCCATGTCCGAAAACTGCTGATTTAGAGGACCCAAATTTAGTTTGGAATGACGAAACACTTGAAACCATACAAGGGAAAACTGAGTTTGAAGTCAGTGTCTGCAAAGGTACTGAAAACACAGAGGAGAAAGCGGCTGAATACATCATCGTGAACGACTGTGGAATATTTCACCAAGAATGCCACGGCTGAATACTGGCAAATTGGAATCCAAACGAACTCAAAAAACACTATCGATACACAGAAATATACAAAATGGAAAGCGAAAGAAGTGAATCAGTACTGATGTGGCAGATGATCATCCACGTGTTAATTTTCGGCTCTCCATTTTATTTATTTATTTTTCTTGGTTTTTCTTTCTTCTATTTTCACTTTTTTTTTTCTTTTATTGATTTTATTATGGCTTGTTTTTTCTATACTTCGTATCATGAGAATGATTCTTGAACCTGAAAAATGTAATCGATTTCTCAAGTTCTCTGGAGCTTTCTATTTTCCGTAATTGAAAAAATATATTTATTCCTCTGAATCGTGCTTATAAATAGTGCTAAAAAGTTAATGTAATCGATTGATTATTCTAGTTCTTTGAAATTTGACCTTATAGAGAAAAAGAAAATTTTAATTATCTCACATTTTATATGTCAAATAGTCATAAAAAAAGAAAGGTATTTTGACAACCGTTTGATAAATTTCTCATCTGCAAATAATTGGTTAGAAGATTACAAATAGGCATGTCTACGGTTTTAGTTTTAACCAGAAATTGAATCAGTGGTTACAGTTTCATAACTGAAAAATAATTGACGATTGTAAAAAGTACAATCGAACTACAGAATGAAAGTTTGGCTATGATTCTAATATTTTAAGAACTTAGAACTGATAGTTTCAACCAGCGATTTAAAATCGTAGCAAAATTGTCAGTTTTTAATATAAAAAAAATTATTATCACCTTTTAGTTTCTCTTAATATTTTTTTATTTTTAAAAAATGACAAACCATTATTTTTAATAATTTTTTTAATGATGGTTTGTTAATCTGGATAAATTTTAAGCAATATCACCTGTGTATTACTATTTTTTACATTGATAAAACATGGGTATGTTCATTAGGTACCTCCTGTATAATTTTTTTTATCAATATTGTAAATAATTTCATGGTATAATATTAATTGATACTAAACATGGAAAGAGTATGTATTTCAAATGAAATTGATATATTTGGTTTTTTCATTCAAATAATTTGTAGTTTAATCATGAATATGTTTAACGAGTATGGATACATACAGGAAAAAATTATCAGAATGACTTTTTGCAGTCCATAAAATTATTCATATGTAGTCCATTCAGACAATTTTGCCCATGAAACGTAACTTCTAAATTCTAAAACTTTCAACTTTCAAAAAACTCAAATTTACATGTAAGTAATTTAAAATCTTGTCCGAAAATAACTCCGGAAAGTCAATTTTGGCCAAAATTGACATGAAAATTAAATTTTTTAAAAAAAAAACAAAAAAAAGTGCAAAAATGGGTTAGTCGCCCGCCGGCTACCCCTTTAAAGGAAGTCGGAAGCAACCCGGCTTCCAAGTGTCACGGGCTTACTTTTTCAAAGTAACGGCCGTGCGGCACTAGCACAAACCAACTAACGATCAAGTGCTAGCTCAGTCTTAAGACCCCCAAAACGTGCAAAGCTAGGCAAGACCTTAAAGAACGGAGGCAAAGAAAAACTTAAGAAAGTTTGAAAGTGAAAGAACGATGAAAGCACAAGAGAGCTTAAGGAATGCTTGAGAACTCTACTCAAAGCTTGGATGGATTACAAATGAAGGGGGCATGGGGTATTTATAGGCAAACCCCCAAGTCCTAAAGAATTCTAGAGAATTCTATGTACATAATAAAATAATGGAATTCTAGAGAATTCCTACAATAAAATATTCTAAGTTCAAAATATCTACAAGTCTCTAGAATCTTTCACACGGTTCTAGCAAACTCGGGTAGCTTCCACACGGTTCCACTCGTTTCTAGAGAGTTCCGGGCTCTCTAGAAAATTCCGAGTCTTCAAGATTTGACCGGAGAATTCCACAAGGCTCTAGACCGTTCCGTCCCATGTCCGTCTACGAAAATAGCCCGTTTCGCATCAAACCACCCGAATTCGTGGTGAAGAAAAACTGTCCGTGACATCCTCCCCCACCAAAATGGTGCATCGCCCCGATGCACCTAAGTCTCGAAGGCAATGTTGATAGGAACGGGTGCACGATTCTCCTCAAAGTCCTCGATCAATTTGGTGAATTGCCAAAGCTTCTCGATTAGCTCCCAACTCGTCTCACTCATTGGCAAATTCTTCCATTTCACCAAGTATTCTTTAGTTGCTACCCCGCTCCTGCCCCGAACGATCTTCTTAGAAAGGATCTCCTCTGCGGTCCGTTCCTCATGCTCGCGTACGCCAGCTGGTGCCCTTGAGGAAATGTTCCGTTGTTCGTCCTCTGGGTCCTTGCGGTATGGCTTAAGTAGGCTCACATGAAAGACTGGATGAAGCCTTGAGAAGGCCTCGGGTAGCTCCAGCTTGTAAGCAACCGAACCCACTTTCTTAAGAACAGTGAAAGGACCCTCGTATCTGCGCATGAGACCCTTGTGTAGACCACGGCTCCGTCCATGCTCATAAAGCTTCACCAAGACTTGGTCGCCTTCTTCAAACTCGCGACGGGTCCGTTTCTTATCCGCCCATTTCTTCATACGCGCGGCCGACTTCTCCAAGTAGAGTTTTGCCTCGTCGGACCGTTCTTGCCAATCTTTGGCAAACTTGTATGCGGGTGGGCTATTGCCCTTATAGCCCCCAAGAATGTCCTTAGGCGTAGTCGGTTGGAAACCAAGGACAATCTCAAACGGACTTTTGCCCGTGCTCTCACTCCGCATCAAGTTATAGGAAAATTGGACAACGTCTAGCAAACGTACCCAATCTTTCTGGTTGGCTGCCACATAGTGCCTGAGGTACACCTCCAAGAGGCCGTTGATGCGCTCCGTCTGCCCATCTGTTTGCGGGTGCAAAGATGTAGACATCTTGAGCTCCGTCCCGAGCAAACGAAAGAGTTCTTGCGAAAAACGGCCGGTGAACCTCGAGTCCCTGTCGCTTATGATCGATGTAGGCAGCCCCCAATATTTCACCACATGCCTAAGAAAGAGTTTGGCCGTTATCTCCGCGGTGCACTCTTTTGGGGCGGGAATGAAGACCGCATACTTAGACAAACGGTCTACCACAACAAGTATGTTGGTGCAACCCTCGGAAACGGGCAGGCTCACGATGAAATCCATCGAAACGCTGTCCCACGGGCGTTCCGGAATAGGCAAGGGTGATAACAAGCCATGCGGGTGGTCTTGCTCGGTCTTGTCTTGTTGGCAAACTAGACAAGTCCTTACATACGTCTCCACGTCTTCCCGCAAGCGAGGCCAATAGAACCGTTCATGGACTAAGGCAAGTGTGCGATGCGTACCTGGGTGACCCGCATAACGGCTATCATGGCAATCCCTTAGAATCTCCCTTCTAAGTCCATCCCATGCGGGCACATACAAACGGTTCCCTTTGGCATAAAGTATCCCATCCTCAAGCCAGAACCGTGTTGTCTTGCCTTCCTTCACGAGCTCCATGAACCTTTGGGCTTGACGGTCGTGCTCAAGACCCTTCTTGATGTGATCAACCAGCGTCCCTTCGGGTATGCTAACGATTGGAGCAAGACACGCCTTTCGGCTTAGGGCGTCTGCCACGTGGTTAGTCTTCCCCGGGCTATACTCAAGCTCATATTTAAACTCGGCCAAGAAGTCCAACCAACGTGCTTGCTTGCTTGAAAGCTTAGGTTGGCTTTGATGGTAGCTTACTGCCCGATTGTCCGTCTTGATCTTGAACGGTGTGGCGGCCTTCAAGTAATGCTCCCAAACTCTAAGGTAGTGAACTATAGCCAACATCTCCTTCTCGTGCGTCGGCCACCTTTTCTCGGTCTCGTTCAGCTTGCGACTTTCAAAGGCAATCGGGTGACCATCTTGCATGAGAACGCCCCCAATGGCGAAGTCCGAAGCGTCTGTGCACACCTCGAACGGTTTTTCAAAATCAGGGAGAGCTAGGACTGGCTCTCGAGTGACAGCGTCCTTTAAAGCCTCGAACGCTGTTTGGTGTTTTGGTGTCCAACACCAAGCTTGCCCCTTTTTCAAGAGATCCGTTAGTGGAGCGACTATAGCGGAGTGCCCTTCAATAAACCGCCTATAGTAATTAACAAGCCCCAAGAACGATCTCAGCTCCGTTGGCTTCGTGGGTGCCTCCCACTCCACGATAGCTTTGATTTTGGCCGGATCCATGCGGATTTTGCCCCTACCAATGATGTGTCCCAAGAACGACACCTCCTCAAGGCCGAAGGAACACTTCTCCCTTTTAACATAGAGCTGGTTTTCCCTAAGGACTTGAAAAACGGCTCTAAGATGCTCCACATGCTCCTTCATTGTGTTACTATAGATAACGATGTCGTCCAAGTATACTACAACGAACTTATCAATGAAATCTGCTAGCACACGTTGCATCAGAGTGCAAAACGTGGCTGGGGCATTAGTTAAACCGAACGGCATAACAAGAAACTCATAAGAGCCATACCTCGTCACCATGGCCGTTTTCGGTTCATCACCGGGTACTATGCGTACTTGGTAGTATCCCTTCCGCAAGTCTAGCTTAGAAAAGATCCGTGCCCGTTGCAGCCGGTCGAACAAGTCCGCTATAAGTGGGATAGGGTACTTGTTCTTCACGGTTAGTTTGTTTAACGCCCGATAGTCGATGCACAAACGTAGCGTCCCATCTTTCTTGCGTTGGAATAAGGCCGGCGAACCCCACGGACTTTTAGACGGCCTTGCATGACCCGATTCAAGTAGCTCCTTGATTTGCACCTTGAGCTCCTCTAGCTCACTAGGGGACATACGATAAGGCACCTTGGCTATCGGTTTCGCCCGTCCACCAACTCGATGGCATGATCAACCTCCCTCCTTGGTGGAAGACCTTTGGGCAAATCGTCGGGCATCACGTCCTTGAACTCAACAAGGACTCGCTCTATGGGAGGCGGGAATCGCTCCTCCTTTGCCGGCTCCTCGTGCATGGTTCCTCCTCAAACACCATGGCGGCAAAGGTGTGTT